GTCACTCTTCCACAGCGAGCACAGCAGCCTCTGCCCCTCGCCCGTCACCTCGCCCAGCGCCCAGCGCAAAGCCAAGCTCAACGGCGAGAGCGGCCGGCGGACACCCTCTGACCTCGGCGCAGCCCTGATGCACCCCGGCCGCTACTTCAGCGGCGGCGAGAGCGACACGTGCTCCTCAGCAGAGTCCTCACCCTTCGGCTCCCCGCTGCTCTCCCGCTCCGTCTCCCTGCTGAAGCTCTTCAGCCAGGAGAGCCAGTCCAAGGTCATCAAGCTGAAGCATTCGGTGGCCCGCAACAGCTCGCTGTCCACTGACGACAGCTCGGCTGACACCAGTCCCAGTGCCCAGCGCCGCGCCAGGAGCGCCCCGGCCGGGACGCATCCTCCCACCGCCCTGCTGCCCCTGGACCTGCCCGCGGGCCGTGACCGGGAGCACAGCCTGCGGCTGAGCCGGGGCGGGAGCCTGCGCCTGGCTGCCGAGTACGACCCCTCCAACGCCCGCCTGCGTGTGCGCCTTGTCTCCGCCGAGGACCTCTACGATGCCCTCGTCGACCTGCGCAGCATCAACTGCTGCGTCTCGCTGTGCCTCAACCCTGGGAAGCTGCAGAAGCAGCGCAGCACCATTGTCAAGAACAGCCGCAACCCTGTCTTCAACGAGGACTTCTTCTTCGATGGGCTGGGCCCCGGCCACGCCAGGAAGATGTCCCTGAAGCTCAAGGTGGTCAACAAGGGCAGCAGCCTTAAGCGGGACACGCTGCTGGGGGAGAAGGAGCTGCCACTCACCGCCCTCCTGTCCTGCCTGTAGGTACCTGCTACCAGCCCCGGAGGGAGCCCTCCCACCTGTGGGGCCGGGGCGAGGCAGGGAGGCCGGCTCTGTCCCCCGGCCCCGCTGGAGGAGGGTTTGGAAGGGCCTCCTGAGGAGGGCGGGGGTTGTGGCAGAGTGTGGGGGTCCCCAGGAATGGTGCTGCTGTGGGGCTCTGCCGACACCAGCTGGTAGCCACAGCCTCTGCCTCTGCTCCCTCCCTGGTCCTGCCCTGGGGCTGCATCTCCTGGAGCCCAGCAGAAAGTGGGGAGCTTCCAGTCCATTCCTCACCAGGAAGGATGGAAGCACCTGTTGGACTCTTCCCTCCCTGTGCCTGTGGTCTCCAGCTGCCACCAAGCAGACTGGAGGTGGGTAAATCTCTGTAGCACACTTACAGCCACCTCTCAAAGCCCCAGTGCCTGTAGTCAGGCAACAGCTTTAATTTAAAAGACAAGTTTCTAGTCTTGGAAACTGCAATGAAAATACTGCAGAGGTGACCCAAGAGTGGGCCAAGGGCGGTCACCCTGGGAGATGAGTCAGGTTTGTGGCTTTTGAGCCTTTCCTGGACTCGTCCCAGCCCTGGGAGGCTGCAAGGTTGGCTTGGTCTGACATCTGCAGCCTCCTGGGCTGCCTGCCCTGCCCACCTTAGCACTGTCCCCCACTGCTGACCCCCAGTGGGAGACTGCTCATGGAGCTTTGGGGGCTTTGATTTGCCCAAATCCAGAAGGCTGCCTGTGCCTTTCCCCTGCCCACGGGAGGGAGATGCTGGGTGCTGGCACCCCTTGCCCTGGGCACACGGATGGTTCCAGGCAGTGTCCCAGCAGATCTGTTTGCTGACAAATGCTGAGGTGACAGGAGCAGCCCTCACTGAGTGCTGGGGCCATCCCAGACTGGGCAGGGGGGCAGCCTGAGCCTTCACAACCCTCCACCCTCCCTTGCTTATGAGGGCTGAGAATCTTTCAAGTGGCTGCACCCACTGGGCAGGAGAGATGTGTCCTGTGGGGCCACCAAGCTCCTGTGCCCAGCAGGATCTGGCTTCCCAAAGTGACTGACCTGGCTTCCAGCTTTCCTTTGGGGAGGGAGCAAGGTGCTCCCAACCCTTCCCATCCCACCCTGTCATCCTGGCTGACTGGCTGGGGACAGTGGGAGTGGGGAGTGCCGGGGCACTTCTGCGGGTGGATAAAACACGCTGCGTTGTTGTTTGGTGTGGTGTCACCCATTGTGTCGGGCTCTGCATGTTTCTGTGCAGGGAGCAGGATTTGCAGCGCTCCCGTCCCCGCCTGTTGCAGCACGCGTGGACACACACGCACACATGTGTTAACCTCTGTGGTGGCAGTCGATGTTCCTTCCTTGTCCTTTTGCAGCAGATGGCAGATCTCAGTGTTGGCTATTTATATCCGAGGCTGATCTTTCACAGTGTTTTACTTCTGTCTGTAAATATGTTCCAGGTACACACGGCATAGTTCTGATTGCACCGTGTTTGCATGTCGGGGGGATTCAGGGTGATCGTGGCTGTTTGTCGAGCTTGTGGTTCAAAACAAACCGTGCAGGACATAAGGAGCTGACATGTCCGTCCTTCACAGGGAGTTTCCCACCTGAGCCTTCCCTGTGCTCCCCCAGGAGCCAGCACGAGGGATGGTCCCCGGCCCCCAAGTGCCCAGGCTCATCCTGGGGGCAGATGAGGGCTCTGGGGAGCGGGGGATAGGGAGAGGTGTCACATTCCAGAGTGTGGGGTGAACATCCTGCCCCTGAGGTGGTCTGGGGCAGGGAGGGGACCCTGCCCAGCTGGCTGCTGCCTGACAGCCCCTGCACACACCACCAGCACCCTGTGCTCCCTGGGGTGCTGAGCCTGCGAGGGGCAGGGGGGATAGGCTGCAAGAAGAGGGGGAATGGGAGCTGGGATGAAGACTTTGGTGCTCTGAGAGGTTTGAGGAATGACAAATCTCCCACAGAAGAACTGTGTGCCTTTGGGTTTGGGGGAGGAAGATGCTGAGAGCAGAACCCCGGGCTGATCCTTGGGGTGAGGCTGACCCCAGAGGGAGACCCAAGGGCCTGGGAGCTCTTGTCCTGCCCCACCCCAGCTTGTCCCAGAGCTGGCTGGAGTTGGGTGTGTGGCCATGCAGTGAGCCCTGGGATGAGCTGCTGTAAGCCCTGTTCTGTGCTGGGCTGGTGGTGTGGGAGCCAGGGCTGTTGCTTGGATGGGTCTCTCTGCTTCTGGAGCTATTTTCTATTGTTCCTGCTTTGATATTTCTGTGGCTGGATTTAATGATGTATTTTTGGAGTGAAAAATATATTAATACCTGAATGGAATGTTTGTTTACAGATTATTTCCTCTTTTTAGTGCAATAAAGTAATTTCTAAAACAGATGCAGGTGTGGCCCTGGCTCCTGCTTTCCCCAAGATATTTCCGAGCATTATTCCTCACAGTTCCCTGTGTGGGGAAGCAGAGCTGGAACCTCAGCACTGTCCAGATATGGGCATCACTGCACCTCTGGGTGCTGCTCCCCTTTCTAAACAGCCTTCCAGGGGCTCAAGGTGCCTCTGAAACTCTTCCCCTGGTGCTGCCAACCAGCCATGGGGTGAGGTGGGAGTGAATCTCCAAGGGGAAAGGTGCTGTTCCTGCTTGAGGGGGAACTCAGGGCTGTGCTGAGCCATGGCACTGCCAGCTCACAGCCAGGGCTGTGGTGAGGGAGAGCCCCTTCCCACACTCTGTGGGTGTCCTTCCTCCTCCTCCTCACCTGCTCCCCCAGCCTGACCTGCAGCCCTTCTCAGCACTGGTGATGAAGAAAATGGTGATGGTTTTGTTCTCACCACTCCCAGGGCCCCCCCGCCCAGCTGACAGAATTCAGGTTGCTTTCTTTTCTCCCCACCTGCCACTTCCAAATCTGTTCCTAGCCAGATGCTGCCGAAGAAAGAGGAGTGTTTGCCTGCTACCTAAATGCCATTTTTCTAATTTCCACAATTCTGATTATTTGTCATTTTTGGTAGCTATAGAGGCTGGGTGGGAACAGATCTGTTCTCTCACCTCTGGCCCCCACCGGGGTGGTGAAAGCAGCTTGGTAGGTGCTAATAATTTAAGTCGTGCTTTTTCTAGAGGTCCAAAGCTGCAGCAGTTAGTAACAAAATGAGGCTGATTAAGTTAGTCTGAACCAAAGTGGATGGGGTCAGCCTGAGCACATGAAAATCCCTGGAAAGTATTCAACATTTGAAGCGCTGGAAGCAGCCAGAGGGGTGGAGAGGGGTATCTTGTGGGGGAAGATTTAACTCTGAATTTGTAATTGAGTCACTGTGGGAAGGAAATGCGTCTGCCTCACTGGACCCGGGAGCTTGGTCATGCTGAGAGGAGCGCCTGAACTGGGAGCTGCTGCTGAGGAAGAGGCTGATACATCCCCACAAGGCAGGCCCTCGGGTCAGGGAATGCCCAGGTAAAGCGCAGAAATTCCAAGCCCAAGGGTGGCTCTGCCCAGCACTGTGCACACCAAGTGATGTCTGAGCCCTGGGAGTTTTCCCCTGCACTGGGATTCCTCTGACCAGCGGTTCCAAGGCTGCTGCTCTGGTGCACATTTGGGTGGCCCAGTCTGTGCAGGAAACTGAGGCAGAGCAGGGGAGGCAGCTGGATGTGGAGGAGCCCCGATCTCCGGAGTGAGGCTCACCTGGGCGAGAGGCACACACAGGCCTTGGCTATTTTTAGCCCTGTGTTCCTGCAGCGCGAGGACTCAACTTCTGAGAAAATTGCCTGGAGCTCATTTAGCCATGGCGTGATGACTGGCGAGGGAGGGAGAGGGCAAATTAGGGCTTCAATCTCATCCAGGATGTTCGGCAGGGCCGAGGCTCCCGGGAGAGCTCTGCAGTGAGGAGGCAGCGGGACTGTCCCTGCTGGGGGACAGCCTGGGGGTCCCGGTGCCAAGTGCTTGGCTCTGCTCGGGGGTCCTCGGCAGTTTTGGCTGAGCAGGGCTGCGACGGCTGCTTCTCCTCTCTGGATTTTTTGGGTGCTGTTGAGGCTGCGGGAGCCTCGCCTGCTCCCGAGGGCAGCCCCAGCCCAGCCATTTCCCTCCCCCCACTCCCAACTCCGGCTGCCGATTTCCCGTTTCGGTCAGAAAAGCATCTTCCCGTTGCCTGGCAACGCTCGGCCGGTGGCGGGGGGGCTCCAGGCGGGGAAGGGGGTGGCCCTGCGGGTCCTGCGCCGGAGCCAGCTGGGTGCCCGTGGCGACTCCACCACACGGTTCTGGACACCCGGGCCGGGCCGGCTGCTGCGGGACCGGCTGTGCAGAGGCTCGGGGAGGG